CATTTTTTAGGGATTTTTGCTGTTTTCATTGAGGGTGCACCCACCGAAGTGGCAGTCCTAGCCGGTACCCGACGGCGGAGCAAACACGAACAAACAGGCTCGACGCGCGCACGACACTGCAGTTTGATATGCAAACGACTGTAATCTTACTCCCACGAACATTAGGGGTAGTCAAAGATGGCGTTTCGGAGGACGGTTCGACAAGCGATTCTGCAGCGATTCGGTGAAAGGGAATCGTCCTGGATTCGTGTGGGCACTTTGACCACCCCACGTTTCTACGGGTCGATTCCAGGATAGATTCTTGAGTCGGTCAGGCCTTCGGGCGTCTGTGATATCAGAATTAGGTAATCTATGCATCCTCGCGCGATGGTTTCTCGACGTGTGCCGCGTTGTTCTTCCCCCTACTATGCCTTGTTACAGCTCTCGGGCTCGCATAGCGAATATATTCAGTTTACCAAGACACGACGCACTCAATTCCCGGTCTTTGTGCCAGAGCCAGCAGCAGGTTGCCAGGTGAGACGGCCGGACTTTCTGAAAGGAAGGGTTTCGGTCTGGTTGGACATTTGAAGGTGGAGGGAATCTGTACACCAGTGATTCTGATTAAAGTAGAGAAGCCGCCAGCTTCAAGTTGCAGTAGGGTCGCTCGTAAGACGTGCTAAGACAAACCCCAATAATAATCTGACATATAACCTATTTTAAGAGGGCTTATCCGAGGTCGGACTGAGGGAATCGAGTACAGAGAATCGCGATTCGGGTGGGCGGTGCTCCTCCAGACTCGCACCGGCGATTCGACGCGATTCTGCCAGAATCGCGGATTCCCCCCCTCTCGAATCGTCTCCCGAATCGTTCCCTCGAATCGTCCACCGAACCGCCATCTTTGACTACTCCTATTGACGGTTCTCATTCGACGGGCGCTTCAAGATTTGACCTCATCCTTCGCGTCCGAAATTTGTCTCCCTCTTCCCTTATCGCCAGACGATGTTACGGACTGTGTGAGTATGTCAGAATTATAGTAGATCGCTTGTTGATGTCTGTAAAATCAGGAAACCCAAAAATGCGCGCTCCAAGCGTGCCCTCCAGGCTCGCGAGCCGAAGGAGGTAGAGGACCCTCGGGTCGCAATCTTCGTCAAGGGGACACACGCCGGAGAGAAGGTTACGGCGGTTATGAAGGAGCTGGTTCGTCTCTAAAACCCAAAAGCAATAATCCTGCTGTGTTTCACCGACTGCATGGTTGTAGATGGCTCTCAAACGCCCACATGCGATCTCGTTTTCAAAGAAGAACGCCGTCCGCCCGTTCGAGGACGCTACATCGCTTGAATTCTGGGCGCAGAAAAACGACGCAAGCTTGTTCGTTGTTGGGCAGAGCACGAAGAAACGGCCGGATGGTCTGACGTTTGTGCGAATGTATGACCACCGGGTGTTGGACATGTGCGAGGTCGGGGTGGAGGGGTGGAAGAGTATGGCAGACTTCAGGGTGAGTACTGTCATGTTGCTTTATGATCTTGATACGCTCTCTCCAACATCCTGCGGAAGAGGGCCGGAGGGGGGGAGTGTCGTGGGACGTTTGCGATACTGGAAGGCTCTCGCCGCGATGTAACGATGGTTACTCGCCTGATCTTGCTAGCCATTTGCGCGCCCCTTGCACACGGAGATAGATCAGGACGGAACGTTGTCCGAGGAGATTGGCCATCTGTGTAGGGCCCTGCGTACATATAACATGGAACGGACGCGACGCGTACTGTGCGCACCCCCCTGCCGAAGCGATGATCCTCTATCCGCGGGGGAATATCTCACATCCGTAACGACAAAGGACTCACTTGCGCTGCAGACACCAAAAGCGACACCAGGTCACAAACCTCTGCTGCATTTTGCTTCTGAGCTCTTCGACACGCATCCGCGCTTCATCCAGCTCAAGTCGATGTTGATGGACTTTTTCAACGGCGAAGTCATCGACGCAATACATCTGGCTGGCCTCGAGCATGTGATCAGCATCTCGCTCGGACCGACACCTCCCTCTCCGAACGCGGCGACGTCTACGCTACAGGCGACAGGCGCTCCGAATGAAGATTTATTGTCGCTACCGAAGGTACACGTACGGTCGTACATGATACGGCTGCTTGCGTCCGGCACACGAGTGCCGCGGGTGGAGCTCACGCCGATGGGCCCGTCACTTGATCTTACGCTGCGTCGGCATACGGACGCCGACCCTGAGATGTGGAAGCGGGCCATGAAACGACCGAAGCTGCGGAAGCAAGATGTGGAAAAGGGAGTAGGGAAGAAGCGGAAAAACTTGGATGTGGACGAGATGGGCGACCTTCGTGGACGTATACATGTGGGCAAACAGGATTTGGGGAAGCTGCAGACGCGGAAGATGAAGGGGCTAAAACCTGGGCGGGAAGAGGCCGTTGGAGACGACGAGAACGAAGGAGAGTCGGGCAGGGACAGCGAAGGGGAGGATGAGGGACGGAGTCGGAAGAAACGGAGGGCGGTGTAGATGGCGGGCGGCCGGTGTTGAGAGATCAACCATTAATGTTGGGTTCGGAGGCGGCTATAAAATGGATGTATCATAATACTGCTGTACATTCCGAGTCGCGGACGAGATGGATGATGTTTTGTCGAGTGCTTACGTAAAAGGCAGGGGACGGGCGTGAGAGGCTTGCGGTGGCAGGACGGCGACGACGGCGACGACGACGGCTTGGACCTGTCCCTCGAGTCCCTCCGCTCGCGCCTTCCCCCGCACCGTCGACGACCACCGTCGCTCCCCCCGCCTTCGACGCCGCCCCCGACACCGCTCTTCCCGTCGGCCGCAGGCATCTGATCACTTACTCCCCGTCTTCTCCTGCAGAAGACTCCATCACGCTCGTTTTCTTCTCGGCTTTCACTTTTTGCCCTCGCCATGTCTCCCCGCCCACAACGTCTGTCCGCCCGTCGTTGATATTACCAGAATCCGCAGCTGACTCCTGTTACTGATCCTAACTTCAGTTCCTACCTTCCCTCCCATTGGCTCTCCGTCGTACGCCCGTCCAGCTCACTGCCTACTCACACACCGTCCTGATCACTCATCATAGGTCGACCGACACCTCGGCGAGCACGACCGCCACCTCGACCACTGATACCAGTACACCGACGACTACTACCACTTCTTCAACCACCACTTCTTCGACCACGTCGACATCCGACACCTCAACCACTTCCTCTACCACTACCTCCACCACCACCTCTTCTACCTCCACCACCACTTCCTCTACAACTTCCACAACTTCCTCCACCTCCTCCACCACTTCTACTACACCATCATCTACGTCTACCTCGTCATCCATCACTCCAACGACCTCGGCCTCCACCAGTGCCGTCTTCACTACTACGAACTCCAACGGTCAAGTTACCACCTCGACGCAAGTGATCGTCGTGACTCCAAGTGTCTCTGCGGGCACGGATAGCAGCGGCCATAGCAGCAGTTCCAAGGGGTAAGTGCTCTATCTTCAGCTCGCTGCCACTTTCATCACAAAATCCTATCGGGATTCAAACCCGTCGACCGCTTCTTGCGCTTGTTGGTTTCGAGCGGTCGTCCACCGTCTGCAAAGCATACCGTTTCCGCCGCTCTTCACCGACGCCTTCATACCCATCTTGACTCTAACCTTGAGGCGGCATCGCTCATGACGCTTCTCCCTACTCAGGTTCTTCCAAAACACTGGTGCAGTTGCCGGCGTCTTTACTGTCGTCGGTCTCGTCGCCCTCGTGCTCTTCATCGCGATTGTCACCAATGCTGTTCGCCGTCGCCGTGCCAAGAAGCTTGACCGCGAGATCGCCGAAGCCGCCGCAGAGGCTGCTGGAACAACTCCGGCCTTCACTGACGATGACTACTACCCCGACGATCGTCTTGGCAAGGGAGGCCCGGGAGGCGACATGCGCTCGATGACTACCGGATACTCGGACACAACTCATGGCACTTTCGCACAACCTCCGATGACGCACGGAGGCGAAAGCTACAACTTGGCCGAGCTCGCCCCGTACGAGTACGGTGCTGCTGCTGGCGCTGCTGGTATTGGCGCAATGGGGCTGAACAGGGCTCGGAGCATGGGTGGTGCGAACCAGACCGCGCCTTATAACGCGTTCGCTGGCCCGCAGCCCCCATTGCCAAACCCGTACGACAATTCGTACGACGACCCTGCGAATGCTTACGGCCAGCAGCAAAACATGGGCTACCGACAGCGCGGACCTGGCGGCGCCCCAGAAAGGGACCTACTGGATGCTGCCGGTCTCGGTGCTGTTGGCGGTGCTACCGCTGGATACGCCGCTGCTCATCCAGGATACGGTCAGGTGCAGAATGGGGGCAACGTCGCCCGCAACCCCAGCCTCGGCCCGTCGTCAGCTACCTCGCCCTCGGAGTATAGTTCGTACGCGGCGCACCCGCAGCAAGGCTACATGCAGGACTACAACCCGTACCAGGCTCACCTGAACCAGCAGGCACAGTACAACGCCTTCCAGCAGGGCCCACCCCAGGGGTACGCTCCGCAGGCAGCGTACGGCGCTGCTTCCAGCGGATCTCCATCGCAGCAGACTCCGGAGGCCAATACTAGCCCGCAACGTCCCCTCTCCACTGTTTCTGCAGCAGACCCGTATGGCGGTTACGTCGACGAGCCCGCGACCCTGGACCCTCGTGGCTCGCTGCCGAGCTACACGAGTCAGCCCCCGCAAGGAGGCGTGCGCGCACCCTCGCCGGCTCCGGAGAAGCTGTTGAGCGGAAACTTCGCATCGCCGCCAGCAAGCTCGGAAGGCCACGATCATGACGACCACAGGGCGAGTTACCAAGACGAAGACGACTATGGATATGAGCCGAAGCGGGTTCTGAAGGTGCGTCCCCGCCGTTTGCACGACACAGCTGTGTATCTGACAATCCGTATCGCGCTCGCAGGTCGCGAACGAGTGATGCACCTGCGCGTTCCTTGCCTATCCTGGATGATGGACGTGCTCTGCAGTTGCATCTGTCTACGAGGTAGTGGTACATCATCCGTCCTGTCGTTGACTTGTCCTTCCGCGTGTCTTATGCGGTCTTGTATTTATGCCCCGCAATACTTCTTTCCACGTCGTTCTCAATGCAGGCTCTCCACTCGGCCTTCGCCCACGCCCCGTCTTCCAAATGTCACATGTCCCTCGACGTTCGCATCGCGCTATATTTTGCTTGTCGCCTGTAGTCGGTCTTGACGAACATTGATCTCACGACGGTGTCCATCTGGTGGCATCATCGTCTTCGTCTCCGTTCGTGACATACTTTATTCGTCCTCTATTACTCTACTTGACCCCGGGCGCTGGGGCGCCGCACGTTCTCGCTACACATCCTTCTGCGTGCTGTACTTGTACTGTTCGTAGGTGTATTTGTAGGCGGGCGGTACTGGCGTCCAAGGCAGGGACTTTGCTGCTCGTGTTCTTGTTCATGAATACATCTGTTCTTTCATTCCTCGGAGGTCTAGTGCAGGCTCGATTGTTTGCTATCGATGATTTCTATGCAGTTTCATAGGGGTCCAGCGGCGACCATGGATTTGACATGTACATGGTGAGGTGGGGAAACCATTGTATGTGTCGCGGCGACTAGGCGCGTAGACTCGGGTCGACGTTCGGCGACGACCCCGTAGGCGAGCGGCAAGGAGCCGAAAGGGGAAAGAGAGAGAGAGAGAGGGATAAACGTGACAAGAAACTCGACG